GCAGTTAAATGAAACTCTTACAGCCTCTGCTGTAGGAAAAAAAATCGGATGATATTGTCCACTGGATCACCTAGCCCCCATAGGAAAAACCCCATAAAAAACTTCCTTTTTTTTTTTAAGCTCAAACAAATTTTACTTATCTTGAGGAAATAGTATGTTTTGTCATTTCTGAACATAAAATTTATGTTCTATCTCTCCATCTGTTTTCCTATCTCCCTCTCACTTGTTTTTTTAATATTTTATTTATTTATTTGACAGAGAGAGAGATCATAAGTAGGCAGAGAGGCAGGCAGAGAGAGAGAGAGGGAAGCAGACTCCCTGCTGAGCAGAGAGCCCGATGTGGGCCTCGATCCCAGGACCCTGAGATCATGACCTGAGCCGAAGGCAGAGGCTTTAACCCACTGAGCCACCCAGGCGCCCTCCCTCTCACTTTTTAAAGCTTCTAGGAAGCTCAGAGTCAAACTTGAAATTGAAGGTATGGGCCTTTTTATTCTACACAAGGGGCTGCAAAACTTTTGTCATCTCACAATCACCTTAGGGAAAATTTTAAGGACAAATCCTCGGTAGATGTATATTTATTTCCTTATTTATAAATTATATGCATGTATCTGATTATATAGTATTACCTGATTTTTTTAGAAATGTTTTATATGACCTGATATTTTAAAGCACAATACACACAGGGGCCAAAGTACATTGTTAATGCCTGAGGATATGAATCCATATTTCAAAGTGTCTTCTAATGATTTTGAAATTGCCTTAGCCTCTTCTGGAAGAGGAGGCTAACTCGAGCCCTGACGAGACTGGACTGTCATTATATTGACGGTTAACGAGGTCGACAAAGAGCTTGGCCAGCCACTAGGAGAAGCATCAGCTGGGCTATTTTCTTCTTGGCTTGAAGGTGATACTAGCAGGACAGGCCAACCCAGCAGTTTCTTTGCCGGAATATTTTTAAGTTACTCTCCTCCTTCAGTGACTTAACTTAAACACGGGTAATTTAAACCAGAATCCATATGCACGGCACAATGCCACATCGTGGCACCGATGCCACGGTTCCAGAAGCAACCCGGCCAGTGAGGGGGCTCTGCGACCTCTGGGGGTGGGACGTGTGCCCATAACGTGCCTCAGGACACTTTCCAGAAGTGCCATGGGTCGGCCGAGGGACCCACATTATGTGCGCATGTTAGCTATTACTAAACCTTAAAGCTTCTCATTTTAAGATGAAAATTGTCTCTAACCAAACATTCTAATGTGTGTTCTTTCAGTTCCACAATTGATCTGATGCACCCTGATAGACCCCTCTGGAATCGGGTCTATCTCTCCCCTCCATCCCATTTTCTCTTATCCTGGTCCTGACCTCCTACTCATGTGTTTTCCTCTCAGTCACTCTATTTTTATTTCTACTAACCGTTATTTCTGGTCCCTTAAATTCTTTATGGAACTAGAGTGTGCCTTCCTACATGTCATGAACAAGATGGCTACAAGGAATGGTGCGAGAACATTTCTCAATGTCCATTCTGTTACTTTAGCTAATCATGCCTTGGGGGATCTATAGATTTGGAAATAACCTTTGGATTCTTCCATATACCTATGTCTCCAGACATTTCAAGGTCATGGTCTGCTGGCATTCACTATCAATTAAAATGGAAATACTTAGACTTTGACAAGACATTAAGTATTTACCAATCAGAATTAGGTTTGGTGACAGAAACCCTCAGAAAACAGTGACTTTATATTTTAAAAAAAAGATTTTATTTATTTATTTGAGAGAGAGAGAATGCTTGCACAAGCAGGAGGAGGGACAGAGGAAGAAAGAGAAGCAGACTCCTCTCTGAGCAGGGAGCCTGATTCGGGGCTCGATCCTAGTACCCTGGGATCATGACCTGAGCCAAAGGCAGCCAACTGAGCCACCCAGGAGCCCCAGAAAACAGTAACTTTAAACACTAGGTTTTTGGGTGCCTGGGTGGTTCAGTTGGTTGAACGATTGCCTTCTGCTCAGGTCATGATCCCAGAGTCCTGGGATTGAGCCCTGCATTGGGGGGGGGGGGTCCCAGCTCTGCGGGGAGTGCACTCTCCCTTTGATCTCTCCCTCTCATGCACTCTCTTACACTCTCTCTCTCTCAAATAAATAAATAAAATCTTAAAAAAAAGACTAATCTTTTAAAACAAACAAACAAACAAACAAACACCACGTTTGATTCTTTCCTCTAAAAGAAGTCTAGAGGGAGGTTCTAGAGTCTGGAAGTCCAGAGGCAGCTCCACGAAATTCTCTGGGACTCGGCCACCTTCAGTCACTCCCAGGAGGGGTCTTCGTCTCTGTGATCTGCAGCACCATGTCCATTCTCCAGGCTGATGGTACAGGACACTGTGGAGGGGTGGCGTCCCTTAGGCACACACAGCAGAGGGCTCCATGTCATTCCCCCCTCTCACCACCTTTCCTGGGGGCATTAAATGTCTGGGAATATGGAGTTTGGGAGTACAGCAAGCAGCCTTTGCCACAATCCGCTTTAAAATTTGCAAATTTCATTAGCAAAGCAGGATTCAGAATTAGCACTGCATTCAGGAGAATTGTCATTCTAGACCATCAACTTGTAACTAATTCTGGTCTTTTTTTTTTTTTTTCCCCATTCAAAGACCCATTATCAACTACCCCTCAGAGGTAAGAATCATCCCAGGAATACATTGTCCTTCGTAGAAGCCCTGGAAAATATCTCTGTGAATGTGTAGTTAATACAGTCCTCCCAAAAGGCAAACATTTTCTGCCTAATAGAAACCACAATAGGGGTCTTCTAAGACACGGTTGTACATCCGGTTTTACAAACCTGATCCTCCTTCAAACGCATTAGGAGAGTTAAGTACTTCATGAAACTTGCAGTGAATTTGGATGGGAGAGACTTCCACCTTATGTGAATAATCTGCCTCCAGATTTGAAAGACTCACTTATCAGACTTTCCCGAGTTTAACGCAAGCTCGCAGGTGATGGTGGCGGATTACGACGGGTCTCTGAAACAAACCCCAAATGCTAACATCCTCATGGGCCTCGGCTCCTTCTGGAAGTTTCAGCCACCTCCCTGTGACTCAGAGAGAGATGCTGGGAGCGGTGGTCCCCACGATTTTGCTGCTTTCCCATGGAATTGACTTCAACAGCCAGAGCTGGGAGCAGACGCCGAGCACCGGTCTTCTGTTGCTGACCACAAGGCAGGGACAGAATTCATTGTGCAACAGCGCACATTTCTCATCTTTCGGATGCCAAATGCTCAAAGTATAAAAATACCTCCACGGGTCACTCACCAGAATAACACAGGCAGTGTTCCATTCATGAGCTCACGCTGTGTCAGTGACATCACACTCTAACCAGGAGGGCCCGGGCACTTTGTAACGAATCCACCAGAAACCCGAAAACAGGTAGGTTCTCCTTCCCGGGTCCTCACCACCCCCACCAAACCAGGGGTGCTTGTTTGCTCGAGTTGACAGAAAAAGTCCAGGAATCTGCATAGCTCCGTCGAGCTGGAGTAAAACATGTTGGGGACGGCGGCTGAATTTAACTGTAGCTTATGAGTAATGAAATTGCCACAGCAAAAGGTGTGGTTTCCAGAAAGCTGGACACCCCATGAGAGCCTTCACTCACACACCAACATTACCTCCAAGTGCGTGGGGTGGGGGAGGGGAGGAAATCCCTTCCTCTGTTTTATGTTTTTGCCCCTCTCTGAATTTTAAGTGAAAAGGGAAAAATATAAAATCAGGAGCCTGCCTATCCCCTGAGACCTTTAAATTGAAGCTGCACCAAGCCCTACCCAGGCAACAATTTCACCCTGGCAGGAAAGTGGACTAAGTGACTTAATGGGTATTTTCCATCTCTAATTTCCATGATTAAAAGAAAGAGGTTGAGAGGGGTACATGTGGAGCCTATTGCGAGTTTGCCAATGAATCCTAATTTAGATCAAAGAGAGTCTATGTGACATTGAACCATAAACACCCTAGTGTGCGTTACTTCAAGGAAGTTGTTAGTGTGTCCCTGGTGGCTATTATGTGATATAGTTGCACTCTAGAACATGCAACCTTTAATTAATAATAGGGAAGAAAATCCCATATGAGCAGGAGGAATGTAAATGAGACCTCTGCTCTTTTGAACATTTTATGCATTTGCCAAATTAAAATTTGCTGTGGACTTGGGTTTTCCTGGATCGCTGTTGGTAGTGATCATTTGGCTCATGGGATTAAATCCGAATTTCCAAAAAACAATTTCTGATCAGTCCGCAGATTTCAGATCTTCCTGCATGCTTTGCACTGAGACGGGGATCATCAGAACCAGACTGGGAACAATTTCTTTGAAGTTTTCAAAGGTAGGGAAGAAATCCTCTTTCGTTCTCATCTTTCCCTAAGCCGAGCGTTGCTTAGTGCAGGTGGAGGGGTATATGAGAGAGAGGCTTGGGGAGGCCAGAGTCTCAGGATCATCCCACATTCGTGCACTGCCCCTAACATGGGCCTTTAGCTCTTGCGTAGAGAGGATAGTGCTTTAGGGACATGGGTCTGATCACTGCGCACGAACCTTTGTCGACACAGGGTTTGCTCACACCAAGATTTCAAGATCAGTACAACCCAAACGTGAACTTGAACAGCACGATTTTAATGGTATTGCCTTCTCTCAGCTTCTTCTCCCCTTAGCCTCTGTGCACAAAAGAAGGATTGATAACAACTTTGCACTTAAATTAAAAGGGAAATGTAGGACCACTCCTTGTACAAAAGCAAAGACCTTCATTAGGCAGAATGATGACCCAAGATACTAACCATTCGGGAGATTTGCTATGCCCAACACTGCATCTTGTTCAGAAAAGCAAACTCCTTCTTTGTCATCTGTCTCATGCTACAAAGAGATAATATAATAAAATCATTGCTTAATGAGTAAACTAAGTAGAGGATAATTCTCTGGTAGATCATATCGGTGTTCTTCTCCAAAGGATGCCATATTCTCAATGAGGCAGAGAACACAGGGGAGAGTGCGTGATCGCGCACAAACGGGATGCCTAAAATCAAAAACCAATGCAGCATATGTCAGTATTTAATGCCCCATCAAAGAAACATTCAACTTTTCAGCTGTAACCCAAATACAAATTTTCCTTACCCTGTCAATTAGCAGATTACAAAACTTCTGTAGCAGGAAGACCATTCTGCCAGCAAAGCCATAGTGTTTGGAATGGGTCCAGGTCAGACAGATGGCGTGGAAAAGGGGTGCGATGAGACGTTCCCGATCGGCACAGTCGACTGCTCTTCCAGGCGGCAAACGTAACCTTTGTAGGGCGGAGCCATAAGGTGAAGTGTGTCTCCCACACAGCCGGAGAAGCATACAAGCGGCAGGAATCACCCAAGTAGTCAGTGACAAGCACAACAACCAGCTGGGGCAGGGGAAGCATCTAGAGAAGAAAAATACACAAACTATTAAATAAATGGAAACCTTGTTCTTTGGCACCTAGAAAGTGCCCTCCCCGCCCCCCCCACCCCCATCGTAAGCCAATGGACAGAAAAAGCAGAGCTCTGTCTTCTCCAAGATGTGATTGTTAAATTAGGGTGATAAAGAGTTCTTGCTGTCTTTGGAATGCTAAATATACTACAAACAATCAAATGATGTAACCAGGAGGGAAAGACAAAGGGTATTTGCTATAACGTTACTCAATGCCATCTGTACCCTGCACAGCCGATTTGCAGAATTGGCTCCCTTAAAACAGCACCTATCCAGCTGCACAGAAAGGCTTAGTTCAGAAGTCGATGACTAATGAAGTGATTATGCATAGTAGTAACAGTAAGAGCCCACTGAATTTCAGAAGTGGGTGCTACAATGCAAACACTCATTGATGATTCCTTTTAGAAATTTAAGAATTTAAATTCCCTTCCATTAAGATCAAAGTAGCAAAGCTACTTCGTTAACTTAAATTATTTTTAGGTCAGTAAAAGTGTCTCTGTCACCGTCTCTTTAATGGCAACCGGCCGTTATAAGCACCATCAGTGCCCCTAAGCGAGGAAACAACCCTGCAAAGTGGAAGGAGTCTCAGCGAGTCAGTGGTAAGAAGTTAGCGACCCAAGAAAGGAACCTGGTTATCCCCTGGCAGGAGCTGAAAGTTCTGCTGTTCCAATACCTGGGGTCTGGCTTGGAAGCCGAGGTCTCTGCCCTTCTATGGTGCTCCCACGGAGGGACTGAGTACTTGTTGCAAGTTCCAGTCAAACTTCGGTCTGCAAATAGAGACGTACCAGGTGATGAAGTGCAGATCGATCGGCCCAGGGCAAAAGAGCCATTGGATGGATGTTCCTAATTTCGATTTCAGCTAGTTGCAGGGCTTTGCTAGAAAACGCTTCCCCATGAAGCGATTTGCGCCCAAACACAAGCTGGAGTCTTACTTTTGGGCAGTCCTTTCTGACGGTGTTTCTGCGCGACCGGGAACCTGGCTGTACCCTGACACCAGTTTTCTGCCAAGAGACAGAAGCTGCCCATGGAAGGTGGCCGTGGCACTTTTGATGCACACAGTGTCCTGCCTCCACCACGTCCTGATTCTTTTCCTTCTGCTATTTTTGCCCACTCACTTATAGAGGCTCGGGTCTCTAGGTGGCAATAGCGTAGATAGGAAAACACGGAGGTCACTATCCTGAGGATGCTCGGCTAAATTCTTATCAGCTGCATTAGCAAGAGCAGACTCTGTCTTCATACAGAGGCCGGGTTTTCTTGGGCATGAACTTGTTGGAACAAAATGGGAGAAAACTCACATGTCATGCCCTGTCTACAGTCGCCCCTGATTAGAGGGAATATAGCCCTGGCAACACATTGGATGCCACAGAGATTTCAGAACCAAAGCAAGGTAGACCTGTCAAGCTTGGCATAAAATTTTATGACTAGCACCACTGTTTTACTTCAGAACAACTGTAAGAAAGATGATCCAGGGGTGCCTGGGTGGCTCAGAGAGTTGAGCCTCTGCCTTCGGCTCAGGTCATGATCCCAGTGTCCTGGGATCGAGCCCGGCACTGGGCTCTCTGCTCAGCAGGGAGCCTGCTTCCCCATCTCTCTCTCTGCCTGCCTCTCTGCCTACTTGTGATCTCTCTCTCTCTCTCTCTCTGTCATATAAATAAATAAAATCTTTTTAAAAAAATGATAGATGATCCAATGATTCAAACAACAAGCAACTTGGACATCAGTTTAAAGTTTTCTTTTTTCCTTTTTTTTTTTTTTTTTTGAAGATTTTATTCATTTATTTGACAGAGACATAGCAAGAGCAGGAACACAAGCAGGGGGAGTAAGAGAGGGAGAAGCAGGCTCCCCACCAAGCAGGGAGCCCTATGCGGGTCTCAATCCCAGCACCCTGGGATCATGACCTGAGCCGAAGGCAGACACTTAATGACTGAGCCACCCAGGCGCCCCGTTTGAAGTTTTCAACCCAGCTCCCTGCCCTATATCCACACCCTGTGAAGAGAAGGGGGGGGGAAAACACAAAAGCCCCATAGAAGTAACAATTGCCTATTTTAATGTTGGCAGCATACAAATGACAATTACGCTGTTAATTGATAGTTATTTCAATGAGTTGTCATCCATGTAGATTGTTCAGATTAGCAATGTTGTTTCTGCACTGTGACTAAGCCACGGGGTAGCTGCATAAAAACTTGTATTCTAGGGTAAGAACAGTCTAACAACTCAGAAGAGAAAAAGGGCCAAGCTCCTTTAAAGAGACAGTTGACTTTCAGAGAGAGGCTGGGAGATAGGCTTGTTAAAATGTGATTTTTAACAGCATGTTCCATTAATGAAGTGCAATGTTTCATTAAAGAAGTTTCTACGCAAATGAAGTATAAATAAGACAAAAGGCAGTAAAAGAGGGAGCAGCCTGGCTACCAAGTTCACCGAGGAAAACGTCAGCGCGGCCTAGAACGAGGCTAACAGCCCCACGTTTGTCCCTGGAACACTGGCTCTCTCTCTCAAACTCAGGACAACCACTGGTTTCTTTTCAGAGCTGGATACCAGAGCAAGTAACACCCGAAGAGGCCCGGCCTGAAGGAAAGACTTAGAACAAATTCACAGCCCAAGATTAAAGGGCAGTCATTAACCCTGTACCTTTAAAACAAAACAAAACAAAACAAAAGAACTCTCCACCTTACTTATAAGTTTCCTGTGGCTTTCCAATTTTGCAAAAACAGATTGAATTTTGAAGTTTTTCTACTGTCTAGAAGCTTTAAGTTACAGCTGTTGAACAGGAACATAAAAAAGTGATCTCGAAATCTGCAGGCAGCAGGTCCAGAGGGCTCGACTGGCCCCTCCTATCTCATGGGGCGTCCTTGTGGCAGCCTCTCAGGTCCTGGGTAGAGCAGCCTGTTGGAAGCAAGCAGAATCTCGAGGCCATGTCATGGAATTTCTGCATGAAATTGGACAAAAAGCATCATGTTAATCAAGTTTCTCTCGTTTCTTCTTAAATTAGGTCAAACCAACAAGCCTGGTAATAATTCTTACTAAACTAGAGCAATATTCCTGTTCATATCAACTGTACATAATTAAAAACAAAAACAAAAACCTCTCACCTTTTGACAGGCATTTGCATGTCTGCAGGGTGCCTACACTTCACCCCCCCGCCCCTGATACCCCGCAGTATTGACATCACTGCACTACTGTCCCACTTGAGGAAGCAGCAGACATTGGTGGTTTTAACCAATGTGGATAACGGATAACTTCTGATAACTGGACTCTAATTTTCTGAGAACCACCCCTCATCCACACTCACACTCATGGTTTAGATGGACAGTCTCCCCCGCCCATGCTCAGGAGTGGCCATGTAGCTCAGGCCAGACTCGTCAGGTCATTCCATTCCTTGCGCCACGGTAAATGGGTCAAGGCTAAGCATAGAACCAGCCTAGTAAGAACCCGTCCTAGAACTTCTGGAAACTCCTAGGAAAGAGAAAGAAGCAGTTTGGTGACAACTTCCTATTTTTATGCCAGGCTTGAGGAAATAGGCAAATATATTGTAGATAAATGAGAGCCAGTTTTCTCGCTGTCAGAGAAAAATGTTAAAAGTATCAGGAAAGAAGGGAGTCTAAATGAACCCCAAGATTTTGGGTTGAAATTGGAGGTACTGGTAAAAATTCGTGGTTTTTAAATATGTACCCAAAAAGGTGGATGGATTTCTGATATAGTAGGAGATAAATATAGGAGTGTGTATGCATGCATTGGCCTATTTCCTAGCTTGGTCTTCTGAGACGACATCCCCGGGGTGATACGTACACCTAAGCACTGAGATCTTGGGTTGCAAATACCATTCTCCAATAAAAGGAACCAGGGCTTCCAGGAGACATGACCAATCCCAGGACTACAATAGAGAAAACAAAATATGAGTCTGTAACATCTCAAGGTGCCAGAAAGTAGGGAAGTGCTCCAAAATAATGAGGGAGGCCTATCAAAGGACTTGAAAGGGCTTCCAATATCGAAAGAGGAACAAGTTGAATGACAAAATAAATAATGAGAGTATTGGATTGTAATGAGTATCCGTGAGTCCAAAATGATACCAATACATAATTGAGTAAGTCGATGGAGAAGGACAGCTCTTTTTACAGAAAAATTTCAACGAATAAATATAGATGGAATGAAGCAACTAGGAAATTACTATTAGAATAATATAATCATACTCGTTGCAGGCAAGATCAACTGAGGATTTCTAAAATTAGTAGGCAAAGGTTTGAGGAAAAATGTTATTCATATAGCCTCAAAGTATCTCCCCCAAGATTTTTATTAAATACGAAGGGAGATATTGTGAATTTTTCACTGAAGAAATGTAAATGACACCATGTTAGATTAACATCGCCAGGATTATGACACCCTGACCTCGTGTACCCACAATGCAACGGACTGAGAAGAGCCTATCATTTCTGAGATATTCTTAACACAAATGCATCATCTCAGTCTAATCAGAGGAAAACATCACACAGACTCAAGCGGAGTGATGTTTTACAAAATAACCAGTCAGTACTCTTTAAAAGTATCAAGGTCATGAGACACAAAAATGGTTGAGGAGATGTCCCAGAATGGAGGAGCCTAAGGAGATGGGACATGGAAATAAGATGTGAGATCTCCAGTTGGATGCTGAAGCAGATTTTCCAGGAAAAACTAGCAAAACTCGAAGTCTTTATGTTGGATCAGTGTTCAGTTCTTAGTTTCGATCACTGTACTTTTGTCACATAAGAAGTTAGCATTAGTGGAAGCTGGATAAAGGGTATTTGAGAACTTTCTGAATGGTTTTTGAAACTCCTCCACAAATTTAAGATCATTTCAAAAGAGTTTTTGTGCTATTTTGTACAGCATGGGGACTATAGTTAACGATACTGTATTGCCTACTTGAATGTTGCTAAGAGAGTAGATCTTGAAAGATCTCACCATGAGAAAAAAACATTTGTAACTATAAATAGTGACAAAAGTTAACTAGACTTAAGGTGATGGTCATTGTGCAATATATACAAATATCAAAACATTACATTGTACACCTGACATGAATATGTTATATGTCAATTATATCTCAGTTAAATTTTTCAAAAATTAAAATAAATTTTTAAAAGTTTAAATTTTTTTTTTAATTAACAAGTTTTTGTTGTTGTTGTTGTTTAAATACAATGAGTCAAGTCGTTGAAGATTACAGGGCAATGGGGCAGGAGGCGAGAGCAGCCAGGGCCATGAGATAGGAGCTCCTGGACAAAACTATGACTGAAGCTAATTTACTCTGGGACTTTTTTGGTTGTTCCTGGACAAAGGTGCAAATAAATGGACTCTACCAAACAATACATTTAAATAAGTACAGCGAATATCCAGGCCATTGAGAAGAAAGAAGAAAAACCCAGAGCAAGGAAAGAAGATAACAGTTGCATTCCACCAAATGTTAAAATAGTATCATTAGTATTTAAAAAAAAAAAAAAAGTTTGCAAGTATGCTTCTCCAGTTTGCCCCACACTTCCGAATACCACGTCAGGATATCAGCTGAATTCATGTTTTATTTAGCGATACTACCTAGTAGTGTGCCTGAGAAAGGCAAGAAAACTCAACCCTAAAGCATCTTCCCATTGGCCATGCCTTAGTTCATGAAATTCACAGCATCCATCTCCTTTGGGGTTAAGGCCCTGAAGATCTCTACTAAAATGTAAATCCTGTGGCGCGTCTATAAAGACTCATCCAGGTTCTATCTGG